CACCCCCCGGGCCCCCTGATCGACCAGTACTCACAACCACGAACATTCTCCACCAACTGACCTTAACACACCGTCAACATCCCCTTGCAAATCTCTTCTGTTCTTCCTCTTTACCGAAGCTCTACAATTGCAATCAATCCAAATGCCCACCACCTCCCTCACAACCTCAACCCCCCACCGCTTTCCTCCAACCCCCCACCCAATTTTCGCCTCCCGCACAGCATTCACACCCTCCAATTCCTCCTCCTCCTCCTCTCTCACTACGTCACCTACATTACTCGCAACCCACCTCCTCCTCGACCCAACAAGAAAGGAGTTGACGCAATTAGCCGTTTACTACTCAGCCGGCGTCGATAGCAAGTTGGTTAGGAGCGCCGAAAAGGAGTTGGTCGTGTGTTTGCGTCTACTGTATCCAATCGTGTCAAAGCTTATTATATGCGTGCGCAGTCGATAGCTAAACGCGTCGTCCACCGCATCACCACCGACACCGAGCCACTGGCCCCGCTGTATGCGCTCCGTATCCCGCAAACAGACTGGATCCTGCATTTCCGTAAGTCGGTTTTATTCCAACCCAGTCGGGAGCTGAACACGACCTGCTGACAGATTCCTTACCGTGGACTCGACCGCTGAAATCTCTCAAACCCATCGTGATCATCCCCGTTGACGTCAACACCGCGGCAGGGTCAGAGATGGATTTGGGCGTGGATGAGGTGGAGGTGGAGGAGCGGGTTGAGTGTCGAGCGAGTCAATTTAAGTGGAGGATGGTTGTCGAGCATGTTTGAGGCGAGGATTTTACCGAATGTCGATACACATTTGTTCCATTAAGAAGAAAGCAGTTGCGAGCCCCCAGAAGTGAGGACACGAAGACGAAAGAGACGAACCAAAAGTAAAAACAGCCACAACCGACTGATAAACAGAACATTAAACAGCACACAATACCGTCCTTATCCCACTCATCCCCCTTCCCTCATCCCTCCCCCTTATTGCCCCACGCTCCTCCCATCACTCATCAAGGCTCCTCCCGTCGCCTAAGTAAAATGAGTAACAACCGGCACAATAATAACAACCAACAAAATAATCACCCCAACAATCAAACAAATCCTCATCCTCATATCCTTCCACCACATCTGTTTCCGGACGCGATTCGCACCACGACGGAAGCCTTGGGCGGATTGGGCAAGATTGTCGGTTTTGTCTTGGAGGGAGTCGAGGCGTTCGCCGCGTTCGGCTACTTTGTTGATGTTCTGGATAGGAGTTAGAACCAATTGCAACAAAGGTATGAGGAGCGATGGGAGGGTGTGTGTGGACTTCGTTATGGGTTCCAGGGGCCGCGTTTGACCCCCACCAAACACAGCCCTCCCCGTCCCAACCCGAACGGGACACAGCACACCCTACACACACCGCCTCACTCGAACTCATCAACGACAGTGACTCACCTCACGCATAATGCCAACAGTATCATCGATCTGCTGCTGAATCGCCGCAGTCTTCGGATTACCCTGTCTTCCACCCGCCGCCGCTCCAGCCGCAGGTGCACCGCTGGTTCCGGATCCCCCAGCTGCTGGGATATAAGGATCGTATGGCTCGGACATCGTAATTGTTTGGATTGGGATAATTGGGTGTTTGGAGTGTTTTGGTGTTTATGGGAGGGTGTGACGTTGGAGGTGCGCGTGGCGCAGCAGGGATACGATGTACGGCGCAGGGTTTGGCAGGGGACCCGTACGTACGGGGGGTCGGGCCGATCGAAGTCGGGAGAATGAAGGACGTGATTCATCAAAAAAGTCGAAACATATCGCATCTTCGGCTCAATCTGAATGCTTTCCCAAACTCTTTCTCGTCTTGATGAATGTTATCGGGCGTGACCGAGGTCAGGGAAGAACGATGCCCACGATCGCGGAACACGCGGTTGCACGTCTGCAATTGAGCCAAGAAGCTTAAACTTCCAAAGAAAAGTAGGTATATTGATATCAATGATATCGTGAGTATGACTTACTTTGAACCCCAAAACCAGAGAGCGGCAATGTACAACTGCTGGGCGCCCTGTACGCCAATATCTTCAGGGTCGGGGTTTGGTAGGCTTCCAATTTTTGGCAAACTCCAGAATATAGGATAGCGCCATACTTAAAGATTTCCCAACAATATTGGAGACACGGACCTCATTGACTATGAGAGTTGACCGATTGCCGAAGCGTACACCTGGCCGCGGGACAGAATAGAAAGCATGCCCTTGGCACTGCGATATGGTCGAGCAGCACAGCGCATAACCGTTCAAGAGTTCCTTATCGTCTCGGGGGACGAAGGGTTCATCTCACAGGTATCGCAATCGGTCCCTCCGATGAATGTTGAACGTGAAGATCTTTGACCTTCCATGGCCAAGCTTCACATACGAAAGATCAAGCGCTGCACGACATCACAGCACGCATATGGCATGTGAAGAAGGCTGAGTGGAGCATCGTGCGATTCACGAAGATCCCAGTGAAAGAATGAATTCTGTAGCACTACCAGGCACAGAACAGGTGTAGTGCCAACCACACTGCCTCAGATTCCCTTCATCCGTACCGGTATTCCGTGTCATCAGGCACATCAGCTGTGTAGGTTATCTGAGCGGAGACGCCAGCAACCGACCCTTCGCGGATAGCCTCAGCATACTTGCGATGTGTTTGCAGATCACTCAGCTAGTCCAGTCGGCATTCGAAGACCTGGGGCATCGTCATCCCCGTGTTCATCCTGACCATGAATGTTGAGTGGCTCGTGAACATTCAGGAGTCATTTTGGGACCGCAGCAACGCTAGTAGGGAAACAATTGCCGTTTGAGATGTGAGTTCTCTCGTCACATCGGTTCTTCGAGCACCTCAAATGTCGTTATGCCGTTCATTCTCTTTCGAGGTTCACTGTTGACGTTGGTCGGGCCCCTGCACTGGCTCCCCAACGTCAAGAACTATGTCTACAATCGAACCTCGAGCTATAAGGCCGTAAATGACAATGGGCTGTTACGTGACCGTTTCGATTGCTTTCTCTTCTTAATTGACTGGGAACAAGGCCCGTTTAGCCGGCATAGGGGTCATAACTCGATGTGATCTCCCATTATGTACACAGGCCAACAGGTACTTGCTTGTTTGGGGTGTGAGTAGTTCGATATGGTGTGTTTAACGCCTAACTGATAGCAGAATAAAAGATAAACATCCTCTTCACGTTCAATGGTGTCCATTGACACCGTTGGACCCATTGACGCCGTTCGTCGCGTGTGCATTCACCCCATTGGTCCCGTTCACACTCTTCTCGAAGTTGAAGTCAGCCGGAAGGCCGTTAATTGGCTTCTGGTTCATGAAGTACTTCCTCGTCAAGAACATCTCACGTACCCTCGGCAACGGCTTTCCCTCGCCAAACGCGTGTGCCTTCCCAATCAACGTCCTCCAACTCTTCCCAGGCGCGATCTTTCCAGAAATTGTGTTCCCCTCGGTTGTCTCCGCATTACACGGGACGATAAGCGCACGGCCGAGGATGGCTTCCATTCCTTGCATCGCGAACGTGACAGCTTCCTTCGCCGCGGATGGGATACCGGATTCATCGAGCGAGAGGACTCGAGCGCGTGGGAATGCGGATTGGATGTATTCGGTGACGTTGGGGTTGAGTGAGCCGCCTCCGCACATATGGATCTCGTCGATAACGGCACCACGCTCGGGTGCATAGCGGTGGTAATGCTCGACGATGTTCTGGGCCGTAATGCGAGTAATGGTAGCGACGGTATCATCGGGTGAGAGACCTCGAGCGAGGCAGTCATCGATAATGGCTTGCGCGTCACCGTCCCCGAAGACTTCGCGTCCGGTCGTCTTGGGAGGATCGTGCGTGCAGTAAGGGTGGTTGTGGAGGAAGTTGTCAACAATCTCCTGGCAGACAGTACCACGTTTACCCATTTCTCCGTCTTTGTCATATTCGCGTTCGCCGTTTGTAAAGTACCGCACCGCGGCATCAATGAAAATGTTGCCAGGGCCGCAGTCAAAGTCGGTCATGGTGTCGATGGAGCCGTCGGCATCGGAGGGAATGAAGCAGACGTTTGCGATGCCACCAATGTTTTGGCATGCAATGTACTTGGTCGGGTGGCGGAGCAAAAGCCCGTCGTAGAAACCAACGAGAGGAGCGCCTTGACGTCCGACGGCTTGTTCCGCCATACGGAAATCCGTGACTGTGGTGATTCCAGTCATGGCAGACATAACGGTTCCTTCCCCCATACACAACGCACTCTTGGTCTCACCCTCCTTCGGCATACTTAACAACCAGATCGTCTGACCATGGCTCCCGATCAAGTCGACAGCTTCGCGGGGGACGTTGTATTTCTGGCAGAATTCATTGGCGGCATCGGCAAACATTTGTCCGAGTTGGACGTTGATCTGGGACATCTCAGCGGGAGTGGTGGAGGTTTCGCGAAGCATTCGGAGCATGGGTTTCTTGATCCACTGAGGGACTTCGAGTTCGTCATATTGGATCAGCTCCATTTCCATAGGAGACTCGGGTGCTTCTTGTTTGAAGCGGCAGAGGCCGATGTCGATGCCATCCATGGCAGTACCGGAGTTCATCCCGAGTACGAGGAGGTCAAGAGGAGCCATGCTGGTTCTGTGTTTCCGTTGTAATGTGATGATGAGTGTTTACTGGAGTGTGAGAACACTTTGTAGAATTGATCTGGTTTGGTGAAGACTGACATTCTGTTGAGGAATGGGATTTTATGTGCGGAACTTCGCCAGGAAGCGGAGCAAGCGGAAGAATGGGAGTTCCACATACGACCCGGCTATTTTGTCGGAAGTCAGAGCGGTCCGCCAGCATCGCGAAAGGTCTCACCGGTTAAACGCTTCAACAACAGTCTCTCTTGCAACAGGCTGAATCCTTCGTCCTTTCCCCGCTCTTCACCACCCCGCCCACCTCTGGACACGGGTTGACTGATTCACCGCATTTGCAGACGGACAGCCTCGTACACCACGATGCAATGTACCGGCTAAAGCTTGCCCCGTAGTCATACTACCCACGCCTTGTGAAGAACGGTCGACATGTACCCCGCGCCCCGTGGGGCAACCGGGCTGCCATGCTGTGGTCCTCCTCGAAGCCCTTTGTTCCCTATTGGCATGGTTATGACGCAACGGGCAATTCGAACCTCTGATCCTCCCCGCTCTCTCCGGTTAATTTCAAAGACGTACAGATCGCTCGTTAATGCAACGGAATTGCTTCTCCGGGGAAGCAATTACAAGTGGCTATTCGCTGCGGATCTCGCGCGGCTCGCTCTACCGGATTGGCCGCCACAACCCTATACATACTAAGAGGGCCTCGAGGAACGATTCGAGGAACGATAATGCAAACGGATACCCCGCACCTCATGCAGGTTAATTACGATTGTTTCCTCGAGGTGACTCGGTGATCCGGTTTGCAGGTGATGGAGGGTCGATCCGACCGGTTAAAGGTCGAGTCATCACGGGTGCTTTGAGGGAATAGGCGGATGGAGCGAAGTTGTCCGCTGTCTCCGCACTTGTTCCGGCTGAACCAGTTCAGTCGTCTCGGGGATCGTAGTCCTCTCTGCTGCTGAAAAGGCCTTTGCGACGTCGCACGGATGCCTTGATTCATTGACATATCCTACGACTTTACGACATGGTCGCCATTATCCGCAAGTATTGTGATACCGACACTGACATCCGTGAGTACTTCCTTGAACTGAACGGTTATCTATTCGCTAACATCTTGGTCCAGCCTGGTCATCGACCGGCGACATCAACAGCTTTGCCCACTCAACCGCTCGCAAGCGCTGGCCTGTCATCCTCCAAGCCGCGATTGAAGATGTGAAAGAGACGCTCGTGACAAAGTCCGGAGCTACCAAGGATGAGGGCGAGGTGATTGTTCGTGAAATGACGAATGTGAAAGACGAGTGTGTTGCAGACGCTGCACTCACGTAAGTTCTTCTTGGGAAGCCGATATGAGCATATCGCTGACAACCTGCGCAGACCTCTCGACGACGATAACTCGAGCGACATCCACGACTTCAACAGGGAGATCGAAGTTCTCGGCCGTCCAACCTGGCTCAACTCTCCATGGCTCTTCTCCGAAAGCTACATGTACCGCCGCCTCCAAATCATCTTCGCCAAATCAACCTATTGGAAAGACTACGACATCTTCAAGCGCCAGAAAGACTCAACATTCCTAAAGTCCGGCGCAGCTGTCAAAGAGCTCACGCTTCGGTATTTGAACCTTGTCAAGGAGATGAAGGGGGCTAAGAACATGAGCGAGGATGCGAGGAAGTTGTTGTTCACTGAGATGGTTGAGATTTCGTTATGGGGTAATGCGACGGATCTTTCGCTTCTGACGAATTTGAGTTTGGAGGATATTCAGAGTCTTCAGGGAAAAGAGGCTATCAAGAGTATGTCAAATCTCTGCTTGCAGATCAACGCATGCTGACTGTCTGCGATAGACTCCCAGAAGAACATCGTCGTCAACGACACTGACGCTGTCTGGAAACTCATGAAGGACGTCAAAGGCGGTCAAATCGACGTCGTCCTCGACAATGCCGGCTTTGAACTCTTCGCAGACCTGATTTTCATCGCCTACCTCCTCGCAAGCGGCATCGCCTCCACCGTCATCCTCCGCCCCAAGAACTTTGGTTGGTTCGTCTCGGACGTGACGCCCGTCGACATCGAGTCTCTATTCAGCATGCTTCGTGACCCTAAATCGTTTGACTGTGACGCTGAGTCGCGTAGGGCGTTGGACACGCTCGCAGCCGAGCTGGAGGGACACTATCGCGCCGGCCGAATCGCTGTTCGCGTTGATGCTTTCTGGACGACAGCTCATCCATTCTGGCGCCTTCCTGTCTTGGACAGCGCCGCTGAGTTGTATGAAGCTTTAAAGAACAGTGATTTGGTTATCTATAAGGGCGATCTCAACTACCGCAAGCTGACCTCGGACGTAAGTCAGACTTTACGCTACCTTCGTGGTTGTAGCTAACATGTTTTTACAGGCACACTGGGCCAAAACAACGCCGTTCGTAGATGCAATTGGACCTATGGGACGTGGAAGTGGACTTCGCACTCTTGCTCTTAGGACATGCAAGGCGGATGTTTGCGTGGGTTTACCCTCTGAGGACAAAGAGAGGGAATTGCTTGAGGCAGATGGGAAGGCTTGGACATTCAATGGCAAATACGTGAGTCGTACTGATAATCATGAAATTATGAGCTACTAACGGAATGCGCGCAGGCTGTGATTTCCTACTTTGATGGGAAGGCGAAGTAGAGGGCAGGAGGTCAGAACGAGACCCACGCTATAAACGTTGGTTCAAGTTAGGGACGGTTTTCAGACTTATCCATTTCAATAATGACCGGTTAAATCACAATCGAATACCCATTGAAGAATTCTGCCTCGTTAACCCTTTTTACCAATGTAAACCCGGGTAAAACTGAAATTCCGTGAGCCTCCAGAACCAGGTGTCTCAAACCCCTCCTGAGAGGCTTAGTCCATCACCCGCTCGCCCATGCGCCTTTCCGGAGCGGAGAAAGCCCCACGGCGCTGAAGGCAAGGATCATCCACCCCCGGAAGGCCCGGCCGGAGATTGATGTGAACCAAAGCCTCGGGAGCAGATCGAGGTTGAATAGGCTAAAGTGATGGAAACTGCGGGTTGTAAAAGACTTTAGGCTAAAGCCAGAAAAGTCTTTGACTTCGATCTAGATACCCCACAGTAAGTCGTGCCCCTCATACGTACCCCACAAAGTAATCGCGTGGAGCGTATGAGTCCTCGGTGGAGTACACCACTGTATAAAGCTTGGGGAACCCAAGACTACTTACATGACATCAGTAGCCAACACCCATCTCAAAATCAGTTTAACAGCAATCATCTCAATATGATCCGGGGCTTCTGGCGTAGGCTTTCCGGGAAGCACTTGCTTGCCCTCCTCAACATCGTCGCTGCACTAGCCATTAACTTCGAAGGTCTTGCACAAGGTCCGTTGAAACTGCACAGTCATAGCTCGTTGCCTAGCTTTTTTTTGCTGACGTATATTTGGGTAGGTGTGATGGGCTCGGTCAACGTCTCGCCCGAATACATCGTGAGAAATCTTGGCCCCCCGCGCGGACGTCCGCACGCTAACATCTTTGGCAGGAGCGCATGCAACTGGGAAGTAACGGAGTCGTTCACGACCCTACGAGGCAGGGTGGAATCGTTTGTATCTATTACCTCGGAGCTTTGTTTGGAGGTTTCTGGGCTGGTTAGTGAACAACCCTTCACCCGTATAGCTAGCAAGCTGGTAGAAGCTCACCGCTGATATAGGCCACGTCGCCGACAAATATGGCCGTATCAAAGGTATCCTTGCCGGTTGCTTCTGGTGCATCATCGGTGCTGCCCTTCAAAGTGCCGCTCAAAACCTCAACATGATGCTCTGCGCTCGCGTCATCACCGGCGTTGGGGTTGGTTACCTCATGTGTATCGTCCCCGCTTGGTCCGCTGAAATCGCCGCCGCGCATTCCCGTGGGAAATTCATCACCATCACCTTTTTGGCCAACTTCATCGGGATTACGACGGCTTCTTGGTTAGGTTATGGTATCTCGCATAGCGATATCGGCGGGGGTCAGTTTAGATGGAGGTTCGTGTTGGCATTCCAGATGTTGCCCTGTTTCCCATTGGCGCTGGGCGTCCTTTTGCTGCCTGAATCGCCTAGAGTAAGTAGTCAAATCTCTTCATGTTGTGCAAGGGATCTAACCAACTCTCATAGTGGCTTATCAAAATGGGTCGCAAAGAAGAAGCCCTGGAGATCATCGCCAAGCTCCGTGGAAACGACAACCCAGACCACCCCGTCGCACGCGCCGAGTTCGACGAAATTGTCACCATGGTCGAACTCGAAAACAAGGATCAGAACATCTCGTACTGGCGTATGTTCCTCGGTACCGACTCAGGCGACATTCACCTCGCTCGCCGTATCCAATTGTCCTTCTGGTTGCAGGTCATGATGCAATATGGCACTGGAATCGCCGCGGTCGTCATCTATTCTGCAACAATCTTCCGCACCGCAGGCTTCGACGACGACAAATCCAACTGGCTATCCGCTTTGTGCAACACGGTCGGCATCTTCGGCACCGCCGTCGCAGCCTTCACCCTCGACAAAGTCGGACGTCGACGAACCCTGTTCTGGGGCGCTGTCGTGTTGGCAATCATCCATTTCGCAATCGGCGGTCTCTCCCGTGCTGCGATTAACCAGCCTCAGAACGCGGCGGCATTGGGTACAGGTGCCGCCGCCTGCGTTTTCATCTACCTTTTCTTTTTCTCCTCGACTTGGCTCATGATCCCTTTCATCTACCCCACCGAAATCTTCCCTACCCACCTCCGCGCAAAAGGAAACGCATTCGGCGTCGCAGGCTGGGCTGTAGGCTTCGGTGGTGGTTCACTGCTCGTCCCGATCATGTTTGCCGGTATTGGTGAGAAGACCTTTTACGTGTTTGGTGCTGCGATGTTTGCGTGGATTCCGGTTATTTATGTGTTCTTTCCGGAGACGGCGAAGAGGAGTTTGGAGAGTGTTGATATGTTGTTTGCGTCTAAGAGTCCGTTTACGTGGGATGAGGAGAAGGAGTATGCGAGGAGGGTGGAGGAGTTGAGGATCAGGATGGCGGAGAGGGGAGAGAAGCCGTTGGGTGGGCGTGACGTGGAGGGCTTGGGGAAGATGAGTGTTGTGCACGAAGAGAATGTCAGTGAGGCCTCTAGCAAGTGAAGATATAATCTTGGTGTGGCAAGAGGTGTACGATAGTGCGTTTTGCTCGTTTCTGTATGTTGGGAGGATACCGTTCGTTAAAGTTACGATAGTTCAGTACACGATCCAGTTGAAATTGTCAATCGATATGTGGACCCCAAAAATGATTTTATGCCCACAACCCAGGTATGTTACACTTTACTCCTTCATCTACGCATATCGGCAGGTTGTGTCGTGTTCAACGCTGTTTGTTGTCAATAACCTGGATGAAGAATGTAAGAAAGCGTATTTTCCCATCGGTGATCAACAGGTATTGATTGTATTGGATATCTTCACCCAACAACTCGTCGCGGTTAACAATACCAACGTTCTCATTTCTCTTGTGATATATGAATCTCCTGTTTTACCATCCCACCACCCCTTGTAACCCCGTAGCCTTAAGCTACTTCTGATGAACATTGACAGCAGGAACGATCAACCTCTCCCCACTCCCCATCAACGGAATACCATCAAACTCTCCCACACCCAACGCCAAATTCAAGTTCTGCAAACACTGCGTAGCAGCACCCTTCAACAAGTTATCAATCGTCGCAACAACAACAACGCGGTCCCCAGCCTGGTTAACGCCGAATCCACCAATCCTGACACCGTGTTGACCGGCGATGTCCTTGACCGAAGGTTCCTCGCCGATGATTTCGACGAGTTTCTCGGAGGCGTAGAATTCGGTGTAGAGGTTCCTGATCTCGCGGGAGGTCATGGTCTTAGCGAGGGGGATCGAGACCGTGAGCGAGATACCCTGGAACCATTGTCCGACGTGAGGGATGAACGCGACTTTCGAGCCTAGACGGTGGGAGATTTCGCGTTCGTGGATGTGGTCGGTGAGGGAGTATGGGATTAAATTGTCCTGAAGGTTGGTGGTGTCGTTTTTCGGGGATGGTTTAGTTCCTGCTCCAGAGTATCCGGAGACACCGAAGACCGTGGGTGGGGAGGAGAGGTGAGGGATTAGTGGTGCCAATGCGAGCTGGGCGCCTGTTGCGTAACATCCTGGGTTGGAGATGAGGGTCGCTTGTGAGATCTTTGAGCGGTCGTTGAGTTCGGGGAGACCGTAGATCCAGTTGGTGTCACGGGGTTCGTCGAATCGGTAATCGGCACTCAAATCAACCACAACAGAGTTCTTCTTTCCGGCCTTCTTGGCACCCGCCAAAACAGACTCAACCATAGGCTTGCAGACACCGTTAGGAAGTGCCATAACCCACGCATCGACCTCACCCTCCGCTTCCATGTTCTTGATGTCCTCGGGGGAGAGGTTGGAGTAGGTGATCTGGGCTTTGGAGTAGCCATCCAAAGGCTTTCCGGCGAGTTCACGGGAGGAGACGTGGGAGATGACGAGAGAGGGGTGGGCATTGACGAGGGAGATGAGGGCTTGGCCGGTGTAACCGCGGGCACCGATCAAGGCGATCTTCTTCTCGGCCTCGGCGACGGCGGAGGTGGAGAAGGCCCTGGTTGAGGGAGCGACGTTGCGCAAGGATCGGAGGACACTGGACCTGAACATGGTAGCTGTTGGGGGTGTCGGTGTACGTGTTGCCGTTCGAGGTCGAACTTAAAGTTGAGGATGTGCAGGTGCGAGCGGAGAGATAGCGGCTGATAAGCGGCACTTGTGGGGAGGTGGAGAAGGACGAAGGAGGGTCAATTTGGAGTTAAAGCAAGGCTGTATTCTCATCATAAATCATAAAAACCCCGTCGCTTTTGCTATCCTCCTCTTCCTTGGGTATCTTATCAGATCTTATCGCACTGCACCATGGATGACTCGCGCTCGACCGTCTGCAAGCTTGAACCGCACAAAAAAGTAGAAGACCTACTCCACCCTCCTCTCCACTCATTTTCTACATATCGAATGCTCGCCATCAAGCGCGCAGCATTCCAGGTCTCGGCCAAGGCGGAGACCTTCTCCGCCATCGCAAAAGCTCGCCAGATCAAGTTTTCTCGTTGTTTGTCGGTCCAGGCACACCCCCGTTCCGCCGACTCCGATCGCAGCACGATCATCAAGCTCTTGTCGAGCATTGGGTCGAAGAAGGAGGTTGAACAGTATTTGCGTCAGTTCTCGTCTGTTGACTCGCAGAAGTTCGCGGTGATCAAGGTGGGAGGAGCGTGTATCGCCGATCCTACCGAGCGCAACCTCTTGGCCAACCAGCTTTCCTTCTTGAACCAGGTTGGATTGTACCCCATCGTCATTCACGGTGCTGGACCCCAGCTCAACAAGCTCCTCGAGGAGGCGGGCGTTGAGCCCCAATATGAGGGCGGTATTCGCATCACGGACAAGAAGACTCTTGAAGTCGCCCGCAAGGTCTTCTTGGAGGAGAACCTCAAGCTTGTCGAGGCTTTGGAGTCCATGGGAACCCGCGCCCGTCCCATTCCCAACGGTGTCTTCCGTGGTGAGTACCTCGACAAAGATCTCTACCAATACGTCGGTAAAATCACCTCTGTCGACAAAGCCGCTATCGAGTCCTCCATCCGCGCTGGGGCTCTCCCTATCTTGACTTCGTTGGCCGAGACTCCTTCAGGTCAAATCTTGAACGTCAACGCTGATGTCGCGGCTGGAGAGTTGGCCCGCGCGATCCAACCCATGAAAATCATCTACCTCAACGACAAGGGCGGTCTCCTCAACGGCACCACCGGCGAGAAAATCTCCGTCATCAACCTCGATGAGGAATGGGACGCACTCACCAAGGAACCTTGGTTCAAATTCGGCACCCGTCTCAAGATCAAGGAAATCAAGGATTTATTGGAGACGTTGCCCAGGAGCTCTAGTGTCGCAATCATCAGCACGGGCGACTTGCAGAAAGAGTTGTTCACGGATTCGGGCGCGGGTACCCTCATCAGACTAGGAAACAAGTTGTGCACGTGGAAGACCCAGGAAGAGCTCCCGGCAAACTTGGGCGAGATCTTGGCTGAGCGCACCCCCAACTCGGGAACCATCTTCGCAGCACTCGACGCCGCTCCCTCATTCACTTCCTACGGCGACGAAGGCCTCGAAGTCTTTGCTGCCGTCGCTCCCCCCACCTCCTCCGCCCCCTCCAAACTCCTCGCCTTCACCCCCTCCAAAACCGGATGGCTCAACAACGTCGCCGACAATGTCTGGTCCCTCATCCGCAAGAACCACGAGAGCTTGGTCTGGTTCGTTGAGGAAAGCGATGAGAACTGTGCCTGGTGGTTCGGAAAGAGTGAGGGAAGTTATGTGAAGGATGGGAAGGTCATGTTTTGGTATGGGGTTAGGGGTGAGAGCGTAGGGGAGTTGATTGGACAGTTTGAGAGGGGGGAGTTGAAGGTTTAGGTTACGGGCGTACGATATGTGTAGACGAGGGGGTAAAAGTGTGACATACCTGGGTAGGTGGCATTAATACTATTTTGGATTACAAACATCTACAGCTGTTCCTTCGCTCTCACACCCATTCTCCAAGCTTCAAGCGTACCTAAATGCACAGAATCGAGGCCCGTGTAAAGAGTGCTTAGATGCATTCTCGCGTTTCCGAAGTCAGCTAGCCCAAAAGTCTACGTTACTCCACAGAACCTCGCTTTCACAGAGTGTACACAAACCACAACCTGAACCCCATACACCCTCAGTAAATCTTCTGCGATGCCTCCAAAACCTGCCAAACGTCCGGAGGCACCACCGGTAGACGTGGCTGACCCCTCATCGGCGGACCTACAAGCCCACGACGCAACCCTCCTCCACCTTCTCCTCCACCGCAACAAAAACCAACATCGTCAAGCGCATTGGTGGCGATACGCCGTTATGCTCCGGAAGGTGTTAGGAGCTTTACAAAGTGCTGAAGATGATGCAGCAGGAGAGGCGCAGAAAGAGAGGATGAGGAGGATTGTGCCGGATGCGTATGCGGCATTTACGGGGTTGATTGCGCATGGGCAGTATCCGAAGCTAGGCATGGTGTTGTTAGGTGTACTTGGGCGTACATATTCCTCTATCGGGCCTGGATCTGAATCCGAGGGGGCTCTTGAGCTTGAGGTTACGGTGGATGAGATGGATGTCGACCCGGAGGATGCGGTGCTGGGCGATGATTTGGGCGAAGTCCTCTCTCGCCCTCTCGACCACGAGATTCTGGATTTTGGCGAAGCGATCGCAAGGAGAGATGACGATGCGGAGGTCTTGGTTGATGAGGCGATGGTGGATAGCCCTGTTCTTACCGCTGCTGCTGCGAAGGAATTGGAGACGATTCCGGCCATACCAGAGATTGCGGATGAAAAAGTGAAGGAGAAGGTGAAAGGCACGAAGAGACAAAGTGATTATGCTGCTACTGAGGCACCGGCCGTGAAGAAAAAGAAGAACGTGCTTGGAGCTACAGTGGCGGGTGAAGTCAAAGCGAAGAGCAATGATGGCCTGGTCAAGAAGAAGAAAAAAGTTGAAGGAGCGGTGAAGGGGACTATGGCGGGATTGGTCAAAAAGAAGAAAAAGGTCAACAAGGACGACATCGACGACATCTTCGGGTGAAGGAGCGAAGTAGGGTGGAATTGCAGATGACTGCGACCATTGGGCGAATAGCGGAAGTGGAGCCGCACTCAGTGCCCCCGTGCATCCTACTCGGCGGTTCAACGACTGACTTTATCGGCGACGTTGCGCACGCTTGGGGTGTTCGTGGTTGCGTGCACGTGCATCATCACTTCCTGGGAGTACCGTCATCGGAGGAGAGCATTGTCAGTCCATACACGGTACGTTCGCGATCGCAACAAGGTCATAAGCATATCGAGCTGATGCGCTCAGGGACCGGCCACACCCGGTGCTTGAAAGGTTGCATGCCTGTGCGAGCAGCATGTTGTGTTTTGGAACGCTTGCTACAGCAGCAAGCGTGATGCTCAAGGAGTGGCATATTTCCGGCCCTCGGCACCTCCGTCATCCATCAGCATGTTCTAGGCTCCAAATCGAAAAGCTTGGTATCGGATCGATTCGGATCCGGGCCATGGCCATGGCATGGCCATGGTCACTTCATGGAGACGCGCCGGCCTGTCCCTATGAGGTGAGTCAGGCTGTAAGAGTCTTCAAGATGTATGGCGGACCATCTACTGTGTTACCTACGTGAAATTATTGGTTTCATGGTTGACTGGAGGCGCGCTGCTGCAGCGGGAGGCGTGCGCAACATGCCGTAACCCGCCATGACGGTTTCGATCCGCGTAATTTGATCGGTACTGGCGGAAGAGGGCGAGGATCGGGACAGCGTACCAGTTGGGGAGGATTATGGAGGACGAAAGGCGACGAACTCTACATCCTCACTTGACGCAAGTGTCGTGGGGAGCGTGAGGAGGAGTTCTCTTCTCCACATCGCAAAAGTCCAAAGATCCCTTCCGCGAGGCCAACCTCGCTTCGGCTACTATTACCGTCATCCCCGCTGTTGATGTAAGCATATTATCTCTTTCCAATCACCGTGGCTAAATCTCAGCTTGTCAGGTTGCAGTCATGCGGTGTGCGGCCTGCAGGTCGGACCGGGATCTACCCTCGGAATGAAACCTTATTTCCAAGCCCCATGTTTCGCTGCTATTTTTAGTGAACGCACGGCAAGAGTGTGGCCTGTGATCTCATCGTTCAATCCATCCTGTTCTCGGGTCTATTCTTGGAGAGGAGAAGTTCTTGGATGAACGCCTTGCCATCACTGCAATTGCGGGAAGAAAGCGTACCGAGGATCTGACAGGACTGTTGCTGATTCGAAGCAGAAAGAACGCGAAACAACATTGCGTTTTTGGCATGGACGACCTACGATATCTCGCAGAATTTCTCAACGAAAGCCGAAGCCTATGCTATTCTTGGGCATGCTTCCCTGGACTATTCTCACACGCTGAGGCTGGCGCGTGTCGGTCCGGGAGCAGGTCCGTTATACGGACAAGATGCGAGGCCATGAGCCTATTCGGCGGATCATATCCACTCAGCCAACAAACTTAATCGAGCCATGTCTCGGCCCGCGAGTATGGAGATAGGGCCGAGAGCGAGTCGAGTGGAAGGAAGGGCATGATGTTCCACCGCAAACAGACCATGGACCATCACTCCCAGCTCTATATAAACTGTCCTCTTCACCCACCTTCTTGATTCTCATCAACTACTCGTTCACATCTCAATCGCTCTACACAGCCTCTCGCTCTCAACCTTCGTTCAACACTACAACAAATACTTTTCAACAACCAAACAACAATGAAGTACGTCGCCATCCTTGCTTCTCTTCTCGCCGCCTCCAACATTGTCTTCGCCGCTCCCGGTGGTTACTCTTACCCCAAGGACGACGAATGCACCACCACCACCACTGAAGAATGCTGTGAACCGACCACTGTGACCAAGGAGACCGAGATCTACGTCACCTGCTACTACACCGAGTGCGTCTACAGCACCTGTTACGAGGACGTGACCTGCACCGAATATGACTACAAGACCCTCTATTCTACTTGTTACGACACCACGACGGAGACTTGCTACGAGACCGCGACCTGCACCGATACGTCTACCACGGAGGTCTGCAAGACTCCTTATTTGTCCTACTGGTACGACGACACGGAATCCTGCAGCTCTAGCTCCACTGTCTACCCTTGCTCCTACTCTTGCGATGCCTCTACGGTCTGGTCAACTTGCTACGAAACCTCTACTTGTGAGACAACCGAATACTGCACCGAGACCTACACCGATTATTACACCGCTGATGGCACCACTTGTTACGAGACCTGCACCGTCACCGACTACGAGCCCTGCTACACTACGGAGACTTGCTACGAGACCTGTTACGAGACCAAGTACGATGAGTACACCTCTATGTGCACCGTCTACGAGACCTGCAGCGTCCCCTACACGACTACCGAGTACTGCTACTACACTGAGCCTGCCTGCACTGAGACCGTCACTGAGACTTGCATCACCACCGAGTACAAGCCCGTTACGTCTGTCTGCACGACCACGGAGAAGTGCACTGTCACAATCACTGAGGACTGCTGCGACGAGACCCCCGCCCCCAAGAAGGGCTGGTAATCGGTTGGTGGGATTTTTGGAAGTGATCATGAGGGGATGTGAGATTTAGTGCGTGCTTTCTTGATATCGATTTCTTTTTGGTTGTTTACCGCTCCTTTCTTATTCTTGATCTTCGTTCGCGGGGTAATCAAGGACCGAGCTCTTTTGGTTTCTTCTATGAGATGCATGAGCGAGGCTTCTGTCTTTTGACGTCTTTTGTTTTTGGATTAGCAGTAGTAAGGCAACTACGTGTTCAGTGGGTGATCTACCTTCAGTTCCTGTGCAAAGCTAATTATAACGTATGTCTATTCATATTCTCATTCATAACCTCGGATAATGCTCCGTCCTTGATGATCAATGCCATCCTTCAGCATATCCTCGATCCTCCTCACCAAGCTCATCACCGCATTTTGAGCTTCAGGTCTTATACATTCATCATCCCTGGAGTTCAACCTCGCATGCCACGTCCACAAACCCCTTAACGAGTATGGAAACGCTGAGCGTCTCGGATCCAAACCCTTTTCGCAAGGCTCGACTGTCCGAGTCCCGCCCTGGAGAAATGCGGGGTGGCCGGAGATTCCGCAATTCTCATGCTCGAGGCAAACGCGGAGTGCACCATCGTTGTACAACCAGTACCACCTCTCAGGCTTCAGACTATCGGAGTACTGCCAGTTGGACTCGTTGAATGAAAGGCTGCAGCTAACCTCGAGAACTTTCTGCCCTATACCGGCGTCCGGAGGCCCGTAGACAAGCAGATTATTGTTCCACTTGTTCAATCCCAGTCTTGGTGCATTGGCCCCGGTCCGAATGAGAGGTGTCAAGTCGTGCAGCAGCAATGTGTCCGAATCCACCCATACACCGCCATACTTCGCCAGCAACAGCGTTCTCACGAGATCCGAATATGACTCAACGGGCATTTTCACCTCCTCTCGATACTTCACATCCCTCCACTCTGACATTTGTTCAAGACACGTACCCGTCGCCTCATTCTCCGCGGCAAACTCCCTGAACTCAACGTAACCCTTTCCAACTCCCCCCGCGTACTTCAGCCTAGTGTTCTCACTCGGACCAGGACCAACATACCAGTAAACCATCTTGTGTCCGTCGCCAAGTCTCTGTGTTGCGAGGAATGAGTCGATCATGACTTCGTGGAAAGGACGCCAGGGACCGGCCCAGTATGCGTGGAAAATCAAGCCGCCGTCCGGAATAGGATACAATGGACATGCTTGAGAGGGATGCGCCAGGGCTTTAGGCACAGAGTCTGCGTTCAGATCGTATCGCGTGACGAGGTCGTGGACGCAGGTGTACGGTGCTGGATCGGTGCCCCATGCTGAGGGAACGAGTCCGCGTGGGCGGAAGTATGTCTCCATGTCCCTGTCGTATGTCGATGGGCTTGCTCTATAAGACCGTGCTGGGTCGGAGGGAGCGAAGGCAGAAAGAACAAGTACGGCCGTAGCTGCCACGGCCAACTTCTTAGCAGTGGGCTGCCCCGATCCCTGTTTCACCGGTTTCCCGGGGATGTGCCTCCCCTCCTTGCCGCGTTCGTCGTCATGGTCATCCACCTCCTGCCCCTCAACCTTCCATGCATTCCATACCCAAATGCCAATTGCCACAACGCCAGCTCCCAGAATGCCTCGTTGTGTGAAGGTTGAAGGGCGTAACTCCGGGAAGAGAATGCACTGGACAAGCGCAATAGTAAGTACCGTAGCTGCTGTGCCGACAAGCTTGACAAGCGTGTCTCTCTGCCTCAATATCTCTGCCACGATCAATCCCGTCAACACAGTGACCAAGACCAGTACTCCATCCAAACCGCTTACGGAGGGTAACAGTGAAGCCGAAGTCGTGAGAACGGTGCACAGCGCGATCGCTGATGAGAAGGCGTACAACAACACTTGCGCCGTCCAAAAAGGTACAGCATCATGTGTAATGACCAGCTCCGTATAAATCCCAGTGGTGGCCGAGACAACCGCAATCGCCGTACCAAGCATGGCACCGTTTGCAAACCCTCCTGCTCCACCCTCGCTACTCGCTCCTGCTCCTGCTCCTGGGGCAGAGTTGAACAAATACAGTCCAGCACAGATCGTCAACAGCGCACCCCAGACACCGGGCCTATTCTCACGTCGAACAAGAACGTGGTGCAGAACTCCCGTAACAGGCAGTTTGGCCAGCATGCTGACGTGCAGCACAGATGGTGCGCTGACCCTCATGCCCCAGAGGTACATCAGATTGTTGGCGTAATACAACGCTGCTGGTACTGCGTACACCCAATACCCTCTCCATAGTCCATTTGTATGATTTGTATGTGACTTGTGAGTGCCAGAACGGGAAACAGCTGACGCAACGCAAAGCTTGAGCACTTCGGAGGCGAGAGTGAAGTGTGCTGGAGAGAGGTGCGTGCCAGACGCACTGCTGACGGCATGAGACAAAGTTGCTCTGACTGTCTCGGAGATGATATAAGTTCCAAGGAGCGACATGACAGGCGAATGTCTACCGACCGAGCGGATTTCCCACGCACTCAGTCCCGGCTGGTTCTGGGATCAAAGGTTGTCGCCTGGGCTGACGTTCTGGGTATGGTAGCAGCGCTTTGGAGGGATTCTTCGGGCATGAGTTCATCGTATATGCCCTTTGTATGAGCGTATTGCGCAGGTCCACTGTCGGTAGCCATCCCGGGGTCATTCGTCGCCCAAACAGGCAATAAGATGTAGACGCGGAGACGATCTGTCAGTAAAGCAGACGACAGTTTATAATGGGACCCAACATTCGGTACAAAGGCGTATCGTTGACGGAACTCGACGGACGGGTCATCAACTCATGAGTTTGACGTACTTACCACTTTGCACGCCGCGCTCGGGCCCTTGTAACGTAGACACCCGATCACGTGCGCTACACCTGGCTAACGACCAGCGCATCGCTCGAGATCAGCATCAGACAACTCATAAAACAACAAGGTGAGTGGATTTACCGGGTCAATGCTGTCAAAATCATCAAGAGGACGTCAAGAGCTATCGATTGGTACCGGTTCCGTCGAGATCGGATGGGAAATGAGCAATGGATGGCTCGACGAACACGGCCGGCGAAATTGGCTGTTGGGGACCAGTACGGTCGATTGCGCGAGCTGCGCGATGTCAAGTGATATTGAGGCCGCTTGTTGGAGTAAAAAAGGAAGTGAATTGGCCGAGGAGTGGTTCCAGGGTCATCGCAATGGCTGTTGCGTATCCCTCGATGAGTTTGGGGGTTTGCGCAGCCATTCAATGACAACGAAGGGAACGAAGATGCCATGGTCTCAAAGAACTCAACGCAGATGCGATAGTGTCTCTTATGTTTCGAACCGCTTGCGACGCCCTCTTGATCTCTTGACAGAACACCCAACTATGTCATGCCCATACAAGATCCTAACAATGCCATAGTCAAAATGTCCGCCGAAGAAGCCCATATCGAACCCCTTTCCGACAACGAGGAGCAGACCTCTTCCTCCACCATCCCCACCAACGTCGCTTCCCGCACGGAGTCCAAGGCCCGCAAGGCCCTCTCCAAGCTCGGCCTCGTCCAGGTTCCCGGAATCACCCGAGTCACCTTCCGCCGCCCCAAGAACGTCCTCTTCGTCATCTCCTCCCCCGCCGTCTACAAGTCCCCCAACTCCAACTGCTACATCGTCTTCGGTGAGGCCAAGGTTGAGGACTTGAACGCTCAGGCTCAGTTCGCTTCTGCTGCCCAGCAGTTGCAGGCTGAGGCCGCTGCCCAGGAGGCTGTTAAGGCTTCTCAGGGTGAGGAGGCTATTGAGGAGAAGAAGGAGGAGGCTCAGCCTGAGGAGGAGGAGGGTGAGGTTGACGCTTCTGGCATTGAGGAGAAGGACATTGAGCTCGTCATGCAGCAGGCTAACGTCTCCCGCGGCAAGGCCGTTAAGGCCTTGAGGGAGAACAGTATGGATATCGTCAACTCCATTCTCTCTTGCTCCGAGTAAGCTTGGGGTAAGGTGAGAGGTGGTATGGGGAAGAAAAATGTTTGATTAGGTGAACAAGCATGTGCGCTCGATATACTGAGGCATGAATACGATATCTTGGAGTTGCATCGCATAACTGTTTCACAGTTTCCCTTCTTTAGGATCTTCCTGGTCCTAAGGCGCAGTTTGGTTCTTCGCCCAGGCCTCATTATAACTGTCCGTAGTTTGCGCTTCGTCTCGACCTAATTTAACAACCGGCCGTATTAGCCTTATCTCTGCAATTGTCATGTTCTTTGCCCTTTAAACCGGAGACTTGGATTCAACTAGGTATCCCTGGAAACTACGGGTCGGCTTTTATGCGATATAGACTTTTGATCGGTGCTGTGGGAACAGCGTGATGAGATATGGCCAGTGCCTTTCGAAGGGCAAGATGCGGAGTCATCGTAACACCGCCTGGATGTAACTAGCTTCGTCAAAACCGTCAATTCTGCCCGTAAACATTTCTTTTTTGTGCGCCGGTGGGTGGGCCACCAGCAAACCCAACAGCTCTCAGATTTGCAGGCCTCGGTCGTGCATTAGGTGACGTACAGCCAGGAAGGCCTCCTCCTTCCTCCTCGATCCTCCCCAAGATCACCACCATGTCAACGCCAAACCAATGGACTGATCCACTACCACCTGCCCCAAACGGTCCATTACACGCATACATGACCCTTCCCCACGACGAAGACGAAGATGATCATGACGGAGACTCCGCACAATCATCCGAAGAGAAAACCACCACGAAGCGCAGTCTAATGGCGAGAATCACACCAGGCGAGCAAGGCGTCATCAAAGTCAAAGCCCTAGACGAGGAAGGAAAGAGACTCTTCGACGACCTATGCGAGGCCTCTCGAAGAGGTGATTTAGAAGCCGTCGATACGCTGGTAACGAACTACAACGTCGACGTAAACCAAGTCGACGAATTCGATTACTCACCCCTCATCCTCGCCTCGTTGTGCGGACACGTCACGATTGTCACTTACCTCCTCGAGCACGGCGCCCGCTGCGACCGGGATACATTCCAAGGCGAACGGTGTATCTACGGCGCACTAACCGACGAGATTCGAGGGATATTGCTGAAGTATGACTTGAGTAAGGCTGTTGATACGAGTCAGCCGTTCGCGTCGCATATAACGAGGGAGTTGTTGGGGAAGGGGGTGGGGAGCGATGTGGTGTTTAGGGCTGTGGGTGGAGACGGGAACGTGGATTTTGAGTTACACAAGTTCATCCTCGCTGCCCGATCACCATACTTCAAACGGAACCTACAAACCCGCTGGAGAGGCAAAAAGCTCATCAAACTCGCACCAATCGTGCATCCACTCACCTTCGAAGCCGTCATCAAAGTCCTCTACATCGGCGAACTCCTCTCCCTCCCCCCCGAACTTAGCGAAAACCTCAGAGTGGTGACAAAGAGTCTCGAGATGGAGGAGGTGGGGGAGATGTTGATGAGTGGGCGGGAGAAGAAGAATTTGAATGATTTGAGGAAGGAGTTGGTGAGGAAGGCGCAAGGGGATATGGGTGCGTGGGTCCGTGACCAAGTCATCGGGAAAGTGCGAAAAGTCGACAAAGAAGAAGATATCGACAACGTTGTCGCACGGATACGGGAGGAGGAGGTTTTTGCGGATGTGGTACTACGCGTCAACCTCCACGACGATGACGACGACGACTCGTCCTCCGAAAACGAAAACGAAAACGGACACGGAGAGGGCGGGGGTGTCTTGTTGTACCCAGCACAAAAAGCAATGCTCTCCCGCTCCGAATATTACCAACTAATGTTCTCCGGCCCCTTCTCCGAATCCCACTCCCCCACCCTCCCCACAGTCCTCCTAGACGTCAACCCCCGCCTCACACCCCTCATCCTCGAATTCATCTACACAGACCGCGTGGCACACATCCCACCCCCTCACGCCCTCGACCTGGTCTTCGCAGCCGATATGTTACTCCTCGATCGTTTGAAGAGTTTAGCCGCAATCGAGATAACCAAAACGCCCCCGGAGGACCCGCCGGAGGGGGTGTCGATGTATGATGTCTTACGCGCAGCATGGTCAACCCGAACTGAACGCCTCGAACACCACGCCGCGTCACATTTCGCTGCACATCTCGAAACATACCTAACATCCCCTCTCTTCGCCTCCATCGTCTCCGAGTCCGCATCACGGATCTCCTCGCGTCAGGAGACCGATACGATTGAGTTGATTGATGATATTAGGTATTATTTGGGGTTGAGGTATGGGATTTTGAATGAGTTGGTGGATGAGAGGGGGAGGGTGCAGGGGGATGGGCCGGGAGGTGGGGTTGCGTTGGGTTGGGGGGTTGGGGAGACGGAGTGGGAGAGGGAGTATAATGAGAGGGTTTTGGCGATTGAGGAGTTGTTGGAGGGGTTGGGGTTGGAGGCGTAGAGTAGCATCTTGGGAGACTTCTTTTTTTGAAGGTGTACGTGTGCGTGGGGCATGTTGGGCATGGTGTGTGCTATATAGTACAGTAGAATGTCATGATATTTTTGATTGAATTGGGCGTATGTCTATGAGGCGGAGGTTGGCAGTGTTCCCTGTTTCTTGTCCAGCTAGCCATACCTTACAACTTGTAGTACCTGGTCTGCAAGCACGACAGTCAGCAACGCACACTCACAAATCAGGCTTGGCTTCAGACTCACCATTTCATTCTGTCCCCTCTTGAACCCACACTTCTCATAAAAAGGAATATTATGATCCTTACACACAAGCGTATTCTTATACGCTCCCTGCTTCTCACAGACATAATCCAATGCCTCAATGATCCTTAATCCCAACTTCTTGCCCTGCTGGTCCTTCGCGACGGCGATGTCTTCAATGTGCCCGGTGGAGGCGGTTTCGTGGATGAATTTGCGCTCGATGAGGAGGGTTCCGGAGCCAACGATGCGGTCGTTTTGGTCGACGATGACGAGGAGGTAGTAGGAGTCGTTGCGGGCTTTCATCCAGTTGAAGCGGGCTAGATTTACCATCGACATCAGCTTTGATTTATGACAAGATAGGGAGGGAGAAGAAAGGGAACGCACCGAGGTACATCTTCTCGGAGATATCTCCAACAGTGGTGAGAACCTTCAACACATCCAAAAATCCACGTCCATAGTCCTTGTTCGAGAGAGGACGGCAAGTGTAGCCCTTGGGGAGGTTCGCCTTGACGTTGGGCGAGATGAGGTCAGGAGAGAACAAGTATTCCTCAGACATAATGATAGAGAGCTGTGTTGTGGAGATGGAGAGACTGTGGAGAGCGACGAAACTGTTTTTTTTGTCGCGGTTTAAGCTTTTTGGAGGTGTTTGATGTCGTATGCCCGCATTAGGCAAAGGATGGTCAGGAAGGCAAGGGACACGCTTGTGGGGAGGGTCCTACAGATCGGTCCGGTCGTTTTAAGAAGGATTATGAGTTGTGTCTCGGTCGTAATACGGTTCTACGCGTATGGCAATGTTTACAGGGTCCATCTGTGGGCCGTTTGTCGTATGGCAATATCGAGCGCGGGGATAGAGGGTCAACATCCGAACTGAGCCGCTGTCGTATTTCGGGCCGAATTGTCGATATTCCAAGTCCGTTGTCGCAGTTGCAATTGCCGTAACTTCATATGCCGTTTCACTGTCGTAAACTTCGGAATCACTCTGCAATCAAATCTGCACCGAACACGAACGAGACATGACAAAAAACGCCCCAAAGCATCAGTATATTCTCCCCCTTGTCCAAAGGCCGCTATATATCCCATGAAAAAAATCAAAAGCAACCGGGAACCAAGAAGGAAAACACACCCAATGCTCCACCTAACAAAAGGACGAAACACCCTTTTTTCACCAATCCAGTCGAAGAAGGCACTGCAAAACTACTCCCAAGCTATGGGAAGCAATTTAACGGCGGATAGCACCCTTGGGGGCCTGCTTAACGACCTTCTGGGCCTGCTGGTTGGCAGTGTTGGCCTGGGACTTCAACTTGGCCTTCTCAACAGCCTTCTCCTTCTTCGACTCCTTAGCCTTCGCAATAGCCTCAGCACGGGCCGCAGAGCGGGCCTCAGGGCGCTGGGACCTCTTCTCCTTGATCACATCCATGGAAGCACCAACAACGGCACGCTGAGCCTTGACGGTACGGCGGGTACGCTTCTTCTGAACCTCGACCTCAATACCCTTCTTGTGCATGCGACGGTAGAGAACGGTCCAGGAGATCTTGCGGGGGTTCTTGCGCTGGAGGAAGAGGGAGGCGTTCTTGGAGGACTGGAAGCGGAAGACCTTGGAGTCACCGCGGACGTAGAGCTTACCCGTACCGGGGTAGATCTTGGAGCCGGAGAAAGCGCACTGTTCGACCTTCATCTGTAGAAATTGTTAGCATTTAGTTGTGGAGAAATGTGCTTGTGTGTGCTGTTTCGGTGTGGGAGATGTGTGCGGTTCGTGGTGCGGGTGGATGATCAAACTGAGATGTCGAACATTGATCTCGGGGGATTGACAAGTCAAACCGTCCTCAACCTCTGGCGAACCCAATTCCAATCCATTTCTCGTCCATCTCACACCACCCTAAACCCTCCGCTCCGCCCAATCTCCCCGTCCCCATCCCACACCCTCAATCCCCTCGCTCAACGCCCGGACACCCATCAATCCATCCGTCCCCAATCCCCCTTAAATCACACCCGCAAACTCGACACACGCAGTCGCAACGACGACACCAAACAGCACACCACACAAATACTCACCTTGACTGAATTTCTGGCGGTGTTTTGGCGGACTTCTCGGACCTCTTTTCGGGGTCTCGTGCTGGGTGCATAATTTGGAGGGGGGGTGTGGCTTGGGGTGTGGCGGTGCGCGAGTGTACGGAGTATGTTGCTCGAAGTGGTCGAAATACGAGCGTTACGTTTGAATCAAGTGACATTGATTCGGGGATAGGACAATATGGGTAAAGTCGGACTAGTCACAGCCCTCATGATCGGCACCCTAGGCGGTGGCTGGCTCGGTATGTGTCTCGTTGAGGACAAGAAAGCAGTACGTCTTTTTCCCTTCTCCCGGAATTCACGGAAGGACTGACATTGACCCATAGCAAATGCGGCACGAGTTCCTCGCCAAAGTCAGAGCACAGAGAACCGAGGAAGTCATGCGCAACGGACCGAAGTTGAGGCATGTCGATGGAGGACCTCTAACGATTTCCGAAGTTCTGTCGGGGAAGGTGCAGTGAAGTGGTGCATATATCCACTCTCGACTTTGAGTGAATGGATGCATATAATCCAGCCCGTTCGAAACGCACGATAAGAACATTACTTGGAGTTTTGGGTGTGAGCTGATTGCACTGGAATGTGTCTGTACGATACCGTAACCCCGGACTGCTACACAAAGCCAAGACCAATTGCCAGAACCAGAAAGCGAAGGAAGGCGTTTTGTTATGAAGGAATGAGAAGCAATGGTCAAGATGTACGATAACGAGAAGGGAAAGGAACGCACGACTGCGATTGCGGCAAACACGATGGGTGTAATATATGCGCTGGAGAACAAGAAAGGAAGCAAAACAAGAAGGACAGCTGTCAGTTCACGGCCCTCTTTCCATCGTCTCATCAATCTCTATCTCTCTCTCAGGCTTCGTGCTGACTGCGTGAGGCACATCCACCTTGCATCTGACTCCATACCTCTGACTCGCAATCCAAGTACATCAGCATGCGACACTTTACTTGGCGTACTTCTCCGTCCACTCCCTCGCAACCCTCAACGCACCATCCTCGTCCTCCTTGAAATGTCTCGCCACGTCTGCAGCAAGCGGATCATCTACCCAAAGAGTTAGCATACATCCCAACACTCACAGTCAGACAGCTGGTCACTATCGTGACTCACATAGCTACATACCAGGATTAGGCGAACTCAACAAACTCTGCACACTTAACAACACAGTCCTAATCTGCAACGCCGGACTCCAATTCCCCTTCAACGTATCCATACAAATCCTCCCCAACTTATCGATATTAGGATGATAAATCTTGGTCAAAAACCGGACTTTGGGTGGAGACATTGGGTATTCTTCTGGTAAGAAGAGCTCTAGTTTGAAGCGGCCGCCTTCGTAGGGGGATTGAGAGGGACCGAGGACGAGGACGTCGAAGTAGCGGAGGTTGTCTTCGTGGGGGGTAGCGAGGATGCCGGGGACTGGGTCGGCTTGGAGGCGTTCGGTTTCCTGTGGGAACCAAATCAGTTGGTGATGGCGAAATGGAAGTGAACGTATGCCCACCTTGATGATCCGTCTTGGGAGAGCCATTGTGAGAGAAGTGTCGATGGTTTGGCGGTGATGGTTGGCTGCAGGCGGGTTCAGGGGCGTGCATCGGCGACGTGCATGGCCCGTGGGAAGCAGCTCCGTGGTTGTTCCAGGAGAGAAAAATTAATTCAGTATTAAACGCTCATCCATGTCTAAAGTTCATCATCTTAACCATAACAACCTTAATAGAGGTACACCTTTTGCGATTCCGTGAGCTGGTACATCTTCACGCTCTTAACGACCATCCCGCGATCCTCGACTGCGGGCCAGGTCGGATACCACTCGTCTTTCGCGGCCCAGAAGTCACGGCGGGCGGTGGTTGTTGAGTCACCCCAGGGTTTGTTCTTCATGTTGTCCGAGAAGTAACCATTTGTACCCCCGACGGCGACGTTGAGGATGAGATAGAAGTCTTGGTCGAAGGGAGCGGCGTTGGACGTCGAGTCTGACCATGGGTCGTCGAGGAGGGTAGAGTTCTTCCAGTCGTATTTGGGGAACTCACCACGGTTATAGAAGGATTCTTTGTTGAAGCGGAGGGAGAGACCTTGACGCAAGCGAGAATTCACATAGACGAAGAGGTAGTCCGGGGTCCATTCAAGTCCGTAGGTGTTGAAACCCCCTGAGAAATCACCATGCAGTTGCTGGACCACGGCGGTGGTCTTGAGGTAAGCATCATAGTCGGATGAAGGACCCCAATGCAAAGAGGAAGTCACATAGTCACGACCAGCGACGTCCTTCCCGGGCGTGTTGCCCTTAGCCTCCATGATGTCAATCTCACCACTCCTCGGCCAAGCACCGTAAACATCATCGGAAGGCATCATCCAAATCGCAGGCCACATCCAGTTACCAGACGGGATTTTAGCCACAACCTCGACTTTGCCATACTTGATCGAGTACTTCCCTTTCGTGTTCAATCTCGCCGATTGAATCGGGGGAAGGACGACACCGGTGGACGAATTAGAGATGACGGCACAATCAGAGTCGATGTCGGAGGTACACCCGTTTCCGGTGAGGTTGAGTGTGTATCCGTTGCTGATGGCAGCGTCGCCGTAGATGTCAGAGGTGAGGGTGGGTACGATGTGGAGCATCCCATCCTTCACAAACGAGTTGTTCTCACTCGTGGTCGTCATATCGAACCCACCATTTCCAAAGCCGGACAACTGCACCTCGTGATTCCAGATACTCGTATCAAGACCATTGGAGAAATCGTCTTCGAGGACGAGGGAGTAGGTGTTGGTCGGCACTGACTGCCACCCATACCACGCCAAAAACCCAGCAACGGCCGCAGCGAGTACGAATCCGATCCAAGGGAACGCTTGGATGAGACGCCAACGATCACGAGTCTCCTTGGCCCACTCGGACTTATCGGGATCCCCTTCGACGAGGGTCGTGACAAAGTGTTGACGGAACATGGGTGGTTTGAAGGTCATGCTACTAGTCGCCGACTCCCTCGCACCCGCACCCGTCAAAATCTTCGGGCGTATCGCCAAGCCACCTGAAGCGTTGGAGGAGAAGGAGTTACGGGTCGAGGATCTCGTGACGGTCAACGGGCGCGAACGGCGGGACGCGGGGGTGCGGGCGCCGGAACCGGGGGAGGTAGGGGATTGAGGCCATTCGTTCGTGTTCAGGGAGGAAGCGGGGGAGTGGTGACGGGGAGTCGGGAGAGCGTAGGTGAGGCGGGATTGAATGGCGATGTTTTGGGGGATTTCTTCGGCGTCGGCACTCTTGAAGGAGTCGACAGAGGGGCGGGTGTCGTCTTCGTGATTCATAGCGAAGGTGGAGGCGAGTGAGCTGATGGAGAAGAGAGAGGAAGTGGGAATGGGTGCCTTGATAAAGACTCCCGGGATTCCTTAAACGGAGAGTTTAAGTGTCCCAACAAGGCAGAGTATTCCCGAGATCCATCCCTTAAAACTCAAACGACTCTATTCGGCGACGACGAGAGAGCCGTTCTCGGGCCGTGTTTGTTGTCTCCCCAACCACAACCTCGGAGGGGGATCAGACTCCCACGGTGGTCAAAACTCGATCTGCCGGAAGTTCAACTGAAACATATGCATAGTACCAACACTACAGGTCGATCTCAACATCTTAGTCGTCTAATCCACTTTTTCCGTCCGATAACATACGCTATATTCAATATAGACCCTTCACCTCGTTTGAGAGCCTTTAAGAGGGTTGACAGCGGCGGTGCGCGCGGATTTCGATATCGGCTGAGGTGACCATAGTTTCACGCCTCGATTCAATTAGAAAACATTGGAGCTCGAACCTCTTCTGTGAAATAAAATGTGATTTGATAATCTGATGAGACACGGGTCGGAACTCGGAGATAAGCCAGATGTACAGTCATTGACGGGGATCTGATGGATGTGCGGTGCAGCCGCGCTCGAGCTCAAGCGAAGTCTGGGTGTGCGCTGAGATGCGCGATGCTGCAAAACGTCAAGAAAACATCAAGGCGTGTGAAATGGCCCTTAGCTACGGATCAATGGGAAGCAATGCTGTATAACCCCCTTGGATGCCAACGTCAACTTTCTCAACGATGTCATTTTAGCTGTGGGTCCACGATCGGATCGCTGATCTGCACCTGACAACGGGATCCGTGCACACTGTACATATCCTCACTTCAACGTCGAAACAAAGGCGAAAAACCGCGATCACTCGGAAGCGGAGTGTTGACCGGCGCATGGCGTGTATTTCAGGCAAACACGGGTCGGCATTTGCATCGGATTTGGTGGAAGGCTTGGGGGTCTTTTTTCGATACGGCAATTCTGTGCGAGCTCGGGGCCCCGCTGAGCAAGCAGTGTCCGTCAGGGTGATGAGACAGAGCTCGCGAGGGATCTTTGGAGGATGGCATGATCAATGCACACAGGGAAAAGTCTTAAAATCTCTTGGCGAGATAGATCGATTGGCGGTTACTTCCGCAACATCCCGAAGCGAGAAGAGGTTGGTGGAGGATCGATGAGGCCTGTCGCAATATGTCAGGCCCACGATTTGTGCACGGAAACTGTGCTACGAGAGAGAGAAACAAACACCTCATGAAGACGAATCATGGCTTGGCATTGCTTGGGGCATTCATTGGCGGATCACGTCTGTGCACGGTTCACTCGGGTGTGGATCACGGTGAATGTTACAAACTCCGCGCCGTTGGGGATGCCATGGTGGTCGGCGTCAGGACATTGCGCCGCTTATCGCCCGATGTGTGTTCCCGCGCACCAAAATAAGGGATCAAGCATTAGGTTTCGGGAGTCGTGAACGGCGGTGCTTGAGCATACCTCCTCTGCGCACGCTAACGACACTCACCAGCCCAATACTCTACCTCAAGGTCCTAAAGACCAGAGAGCCCCGCCCGTCCCGAAACTGACTGGGTAGCCAAACAGTACTCTGTCCACCCACTAAGCTGCTGCTGGCAGAGAAATTTACGGGCTCAACCACTCTATGGCAGGTTTGAGGCCTTGCAAACAATGGTGTTGTGGATCACGACAGCGCTACGCTGACTTTACGACGGCTCGGTGTTCAGCACTCTATTCATCAAGTCGCAACTTAAGGCAATGTTAGATTGCGATATGAGAGGTGTGATCGACTTGCCTATGATGACTTTTACGGGCGATGTTAGATTGCGACGGGGAAACTGATGCTTGGCTTCACGGGCAAAGCATGGAGGCACGAGCTGACCGATGTCGGCAAAACGGTTGAGGTTGGGGACTGGAGAGCATAGATTGCGTTCTGGGACGCACAGACGCAGAGCCCAAAAGGGATCAAGGATGACATTTAAGAGGTTTCCGGGTTGTTGGTGGGTTGCTTGTTGTTGTCGTCGGGTATAAGATCGAGGACCATCCCACGTTCCAAGTTCCTATTATCATCAACCTGATCACCACTCGCTCACCTCGACAAGCAACTCGACAATGGGTAATCTGACCTCTCGCCATCAACAACCCCAGCAGGGTCCCGGTGTTGTCACCTACATCAACGATGACGGCAAAATCGTCAATGACACCCAAGACATCTTTAAGGCGAACCTCAAAATGAACGCCATCTACTCTTCCTTCCTCGACGAGAAGACGGCAGGCGAAAGCACTGCCAATGTCGACCTTGTTGGCAAGTCTTCGCGGTTGTTGTTTGAGCAATGCGCGGATCGTGGTGTGTTTGGACGTACGGGGTTCTATGGTCGTTCGGCTGTTTGTATTCGTGAGGATACGGAGTATGTCATTTGTAATGACAACATCGGCGAGATGATCCCGACGGAGGATTTGCACACGTACGCCTCCGCTCTCGACATGGAGTTGGTTATCTTCATCGATCATCCGCTCATCCCGAACGTCCCTCTCAACATCCTGAAAACCAATCTTCTCGAGGAAGGACAAACACTTCAGGTCTTCGACAACTTGTCTCAGCTTCGTAGGGCGAGGTTGGATCAGCCTACTGCGTTCTTTCGCGAGGAGGGTATCATGGTTGTTTGGTCCCAAGAAGCGGGGACGGCTTTGACGTTGGCGAAGACGGTCCAGGCCGCGTTCGAACAAATCAGTTGGGATCAGGCCGCAAAACCTGGTGAGCTTGAAGTCATTGAGGAGAAGAAGGAAGGACGCTTTGGGTTCCTCAAGAAGAAGAAGAAGTCGGTGATGGCTAAGACCGCCGCTGAAGCTGCCGATTTGGAGGCCGACGAGGATGGGCGTGTTCCTCTTCGTCGCAGGGAGATTCAAATCCCTATCTATGTCATGTTCGTCATCGCTCTTGGTGGTATCTACTTTGGTCTCCTTCTCCGCAGTCTCTTGATCGAGTACCGCTACGATGGTACTGTGATTCGCTTCGCCTACGTCGCTTATTTCCCTATCGCTATCTTGATGTTCTTGTACTTCAACATGACCGTGGTGTCCTCCGTTGGCAGTATTATCGGTCCCTTCAAGCAGGTCTTCAGGAACTCTTTTGCGTACTCCGCGATTCCTCCCAAGAGAATTATGGGCGCTCTTCCTCCTATGACGGTTATCTGCCCGGTTTACAAGGAGTCCCTCAACAAGGTTATTGACCCTACTGTTACTTCTGTCAAGGCTGCTATGCATCGGTATGAACGCCAGGGAGGGGTCGTCAACCTTATCCTCTGTGACGACAGAATGCAGCTCATCTCGACCGAATCCCAAGAGTTTAGGAAGGAGTACTATCGAAGACACAATATCGGCTGGGTCGCTCGTCCTGGACATGGTGTTGACGGGTATATCCGTGCTGGACGTTTCAAGAAGGCCTCGAACATGAATGCGATGATGGGGTTGTCCGTGAGGGTTGAGGAGGCTCTTCGTGGTGTCGAGCGTCCGGAGGGATGGTCCTTGGCCGATGAAGAACGTGCTTACAACAATATTCTCGAAGACCTCCTTCAGGCTGATGGGAGACTCTGGGCTGAAGGGAACATCCGTATTGGAGAATTTTTTCTGATTATCGACTCCGACACCCGTGTTCCCAACGATTGTTTGATCGACGCTGCCTCGGAGTTCGCTCAGACGGATCACCTTGCCGTTCTCCAACATGCTTCTGGTGTTATGGAAGTCGATGGCAACTTTTTCGAGAAGGGTATGACGTACTTCACCGATGTTATCTACCGTGCGATCCAGTACGCTTGTGCCGCTGGTGATGTTGCTCCCTTCGTTGGCCACAACGCTTTCCTTCGCTGGTCTGCTGTTCAGAGGGCTGCTAGGTACATCCACGAGGATGGTACACCGAGGTGGTGGTCTGAATCCCATGTTTCCGAAGATTTCGAGATGGCCCTCAAGCTCCAGTGCGCTGGATACTCTGTTCGTTTGGCTGCCTACACCAATGGTGACTTCAAGGAAGGTGTCTCATTGACCGTTCACGACGAGATCACGCGCTGGGAAAAATACGCGTACGGCTGTTCCGAATTGCTCTTCCATCCTCTTCGTCAATGGGTCTATAAGGGCCCCTTCACACCCCTCTTTAGACGTTTCATCTGGGCTCCTCAGATTCCGTTATTTGGAAAGGTTACCTTACTTGGATACATCGGAACGTACTATGCCTTGGGTGGATCGTGGATCTTCGTCACGGTCAACTACTTCCTTACGGGTTGGTTCCACAACATCATCGATCACGTCTACCAGCAGAACTTCGATTTGATGTTCGGTATCATGGTTGTCTTTGGTGTTGTCGGATCACTCGGAGCTGCTATTGGTCGGTACCGTGGTAGCGATACTGGTATTATCACTTGTTTCGTTGCGGCGTTGGGATGGACTCCGTTCTTGTTCATCTACTTCAACGGTATCTCATTCCACATCTCCCGGGCTCTTCTCAGCCATATGTTTGAATACAACATGCAGTGGGGTGCAACGGCCAAGGAAGTCGAGGATTCTAATCTCTTCAAGGAATTGAAGAAGATTGCCAAGAGTCACACGTTCCTTTACATCTACTTCGGATTACAAATTCCCATGATGATCTACCTTGGGTGTTATGCACCATATCAATGGCAGATCCCGCAGATTAACTCGTGGTTCCCATTGGCATTGTCGGTCATGGGTCACATCTTGGTACCAATTATTCTCAACCCGAACTTGCTTAAGCTTTGAGACGATGCTTGCGGAAATACCTGAATTCTTATATGGGACTGGACGGGACGGGATGGTCGGGAGGAGGCCTGGGTTTCATGAACAATATAGATTGTCGATGAGTTATACCTTATTGCGAAAGCATCGACATCAACTTGACTTTACTTCTAACTCTAATACTAAAATATGATATCTCTTTCTTTTTATTGATCGTTGATTTGACAACTTAAGCATGATATCGAGTCGAGTCAAATAATGTTCATTGTTCACTTACGGGTATCATTTGGTAAAGTAGGAATAGCACCAAGTAACACTTCAAATCCCTTTAGATCGCAACCTCCTCAAACCCCTCCTCATTTGCCTGCTCATCCTTCCCCTCAGCTACCTCAGCCGCCTCTACAATCTCCTCTTCCTCCTTCGCGGCAACACCAGCTTCTTCCGTAGCTTCCGGAGCAGCTTCTTCGGCGTCCGTGGCAGTCGCGGTGATGTGTCCTTCTGGGCCTGGTTCGCCCTCGCCGAGGGTAGGGGTGACGACGGGTGATGGCTCTGGAGTAAGTCTTCGGTCGCCTTCGGTTGTTGGTGGGGCAACTGCTTCGGGTACGGGCCCATCGGTGTTATCCACAATTGTATGCGGCTGTACCGGCGCCTGTTCCTCCTCCTTTCCAGCCTGTTCGGTCTGTTCTGGCTCTTGAGGCACTCCCGAATCCTGTGCGGGTGTCTCGGTGGGTGTGATCGCAACAGCCTGGGTCGGAGCGAAATCGAAGCCTTCGTCCAGCGCGCCGACATCCTGTGGCAGAACTCGTGCTTCGGCGAGGTTGAGCTCATTGAGGTTAACTGGCTCTGGTGGTGGGCTGGTCGGCAAAGACAAGGGCTCTGGTCCTTCATCGATAGGTGGTTCTGTAGTAACAGGGGTGGAGTCGGTTGCCGCAGCACCTTCAGCAGCAGCGCCAGCAGCAAGGGAAGACCGCGTCGGGACATCGAGCATACTTCCTCTTCTCGACTCAGGGTACCCAGGCGGAGGCCCCGCCGGCCCACGAACAACCCGAAGTGCTGGGTCTGCACCGAGATAATACGCTTTGACACCAACGAGTCTTCCTTCACGTTCACACGCCGTAACCCACTCCGGCACAACGATAGGAATATTCATCTCATTCGCCTTTTCCCACTCCGGTCCCCTAGGCTCCTTACAAATGAAATGCGTAGTATCAATCTTCACATTTGTCTGCGGTTCCCTAGCTCCGATCGCCTGCAATGAAGCCATGAGTGCCGTCTGCTCCTCCGCGGTAAGGGGTGGTGTGTCGGAAACGCAGATTTGGAGACCGGTGAGGTCGGTCATTTTGTGGGTTTTGACATTGAGTTTTGGGGAGGTGTAGGTTCCGGCGGAGGTTTTAAGGACGAGGTGGAAGCTGTAGGCGGTGTCGATTGCGAGGCCGGAGAGTTTGGTTGAGGTGTTGTGGAGCGGATCTGGGATGTTGCCTAATCGTGCGTTGTTCTTGTAAAGTGCCAATGACCGCAACTCGGCAGTGGCGATTTCGACTGGGTCCCATTCCAGTACTACACTTGTCTGTGTCGCGTTTCGTAATCTCAGCTCAGGAGTTTTGGGCTCTGCCGTTCCGAACTGTGCGAGGATATCCTCCTGCAAGTTGCTGAAAGCCTCGTTCTCAGCATCCTCCTCAGTCGGATTCTGCGCAACTGAGATATCAATGATAGAACCGGATTTCACACCTGATGGCAAGAGTACGGAAGGGAATTCGACGAGGTGCATCGACTCCTTGGGGTCGCGGGTAAGGAGGATTGCCTGTAGATGCCCGGTCAGCGTCTTGGAATGACAAGAATGACAGAGGCCGTCAGCATACCATTCCGGCATCCAGCTTCCCAACGGTGAATTGGACCTTCGTCGCCATGGCAGGTTACCGTTTCAATTGATTGTTGACAGTTGGTCGATGTCGTACAGGGCTGCGCTGGCACGGCCCCTGGAGGTGCAGCTGCGGCACACCGAGCAGGAGGATATACTACAATGCTTCGAAGTCCAATACCCCGACTGTGCTGTCGTTCATTACGGCGTCCAGTGACATGGATCATTAACCACCGCACTTATGCTGCCGTAGCAGCCGAGGATATACCAGTTTCTCGCCTGCGAAACATCGGTATCATTGCACACATCGATGCCGGTAAGACGACAACGACTGAGCGTATGCTCTACTATTCTGGGTACACGCGGCGGATTGGAGATGTTGACGAGGGAAACACGGTCATGGACTACCTCCCCGCTGAACGCCAACGTGGAATTACGATTACATCCGCAGCAATTACCTTTCCTTGGCGAAACTACCGACTTAACTTGATCGATACACCTGGACATGCTGATTTTACCTTCGAGGTTGCAAGATCACTCCGTGTCCTTGATGGTGCAGTCACCATCCTCGACGCCGTAGCAGGTGTTGAAGCACAGACCGAGAAAGTCTGGCGACAAGCATCTGCACATCAGATCCCTCGTATCGTTTTCGTCAATAAGATGGACCGAACAGGCGCTGGATTCGGGCGTACTGTCCGTGAAGTGGCGACGAAGTTGGCAAGAGGTGGAGCTAAAGTTGGATGTCTTCAGATCCCAGTCTTCGAGAACGGTGTTGAAGGTGGAGCATTCATCGGTGTCGTGGATGTCATGGACGGTATTGTTCTCACATGGCCCAGTGACGGAAAGTCTGATGGGAGGGACGTCAAGGCAGTTCCTGTTGCTTCCTACCCCTCTCCAGCACTCCAAGAGGAAACAGCAAAAGCCCGTGGAGCTCTTGTCGACACACTTGCGGAACTCGATGAAGAGGTCATGGAACTTTACCTCGAACACGAAAATGCCATTCCAACTGCCGCGCTCAAGAAAGCTATTCGAAGATGCACGCTTGGCAACACACTCATCCCTATCCTCACCGGCGCTTCATTCCGAAACATCGGTGTACAGCCTCTTCTTGACGCCGTACTCGACTACCTCCCCTGCCCTGCTGACCGTCCACCAGCAGCCATTACGCTGCAGGGAAAACCCGGCGAACTCGACGACAAGAAGAATGATCTGTGTGCACTTGCATTCAAAGTCGTCCACGATCCCAGAAAAGGAGCAATGGTGTTCGTTCGTGTTTACAGCGGAAAACTCGCGATGGGTACCCCAATCACAAACACCGTCACAGTTGGAGAAGTTCCTATGAAGGAGCGCGCTAATAAGTTGTTGAGGATGTATGCTATGGATTCTGAAGAAGTTACGGAAATCACTGCAGGAAATATCGGTGTTATCTTGGGTTTGAAGCATGCGAAGACTGGAACTACGATCATCTCCTCTCGTGATTCGCGCACAACCCTTCAACTTCACCCTATTCCTACTCCACCACCAGTTTTCATCCGTTCCCTCGAACCAACGACGTTGTCTGACGCCAAGGGTTTAGACCTAGCATTGGAAATGGCACTCCGTGAGGACCCATCTCTTCATGTCACTCGTGATGATGAGACTGGGCAGGTCTTGCTCAGTGGCATGGGTGAACTCCACCTCGAGGTTGTCCGAGAACGTCTCCTCGGAGAGTTCGGAGCCAAGGCCGAGATGGGTGACCTGAGAATTGGATACAGAGAAACTGTCAACGGCATGAGTGCAGAGATGGAAAAGCAGGTCGACAAGGAGTTTGGAGCTGGCAAGAGAGGAACAGCATCTGCCAAGGCAATGGTAGAGCCATATGAAGAGGAGGAAGTAGAAGAGGTCGAAGTGAAGAAGACCAAGAAAGTATCAAAGAAGAAGAGCAAGGGATTTGGAGGCGCTCCGGAAGAAATGGAACTCACCCGTACGAGAACTGTGAACGGAAACAAAATCACCACGATCATCCCGGCAGGTATTCTGCTCCCCGGCGACTTGATCCACGGTGAAGTACATTCTACATTGCAAATGGCGGCCGAGGTGGCATTGGTCCGTGGTCCTTTGTTTTCTGCTCAGCTTCATGCTACACACGTCACAGTCGCTGTGAAGGACCTGCTCACCACAGACCCTGCACCAACACTCACTGCTCTTTCGCAAGCAGGAAGGCTAGCCGTGGTGGAGGCGATCAAATCAGTGGGCACGGGCGTGGTGGAGCCAGTCATGGCTGTTACCGTTACTGTGGGAGAGAAAGATCTCGGTGGTGTTGTCGGTGATATTTCCGGTACACGCGGGGGTACCATCCTTTCCCTTGATGAGGATGCCTCATCCGATATCTCTTCCGTCGATCTGGACAGGGTGTATGCTCCACCAGACTCAACCTACAACGCGCGTTCTTCCACGGATGAATCTGCGCAAGTCCGAGTGGTGAAAGCATTGGTTCCATTGCGCGAGATGATTGGCTACAACAAATCCCTACGAAGTTTGACTGGTGGAAGGGGATCATTCCAGATGAGTGTTGAGAAGTTCGAGAGGGTGAATCGCGACAAGGAACGTGAAGTGCTGAAGGAGGTCAGAGGTGGATTTGATTTTTAAAAGGTAGTTGAGGGATGAGGAACCGGGGAGGATGAAGGGGTTACAAAAATGTGATAGTACAATAGAAGATACCCATAGCATAGCCAACATACGGGTCCGGATCAAGGGACGATTGAGGCCGAGGTGTTACACCATGATTTTTATGATTTTCCATTTTGCCTGTCCAAACAAACTGACAAGAAACAACCCTGCGTATACACATTCGACCCCAACAGTGACTGCGTACGTATGTTGACGACAGGAGCACCGTGTGAGAGGTCGAGAAAAAGACGACACAAAGATAAAAACAACACACTCAGATTCCAACAAAAAGCGACCTCAATCCGTAACCATACTTTTTTGATGCCACGCCGCACTCTCTTCCTTTCCTTCTCTTCTCTAACGAACGATGAACATGATGACAGACGCGTAAATGCGCTTAGATCTCGTCGATGTCGAACTCGAAGTTACACTCCTCGTCACCCTCACCACCGAACATGTCAGTCTCGTTGATCTTGGCGTTCTCGGGCAACTCTCCGTAGGCCTTGAGGTTTCTCGCCTCATCGGCATTGTACTTCTGGATAACGTCGGCCTTCTCGTCCTGGTATTCACGGAGGGAGAGGAGGATGATATCACCCTGGTTGATCCAGACCTACCAAAGAATGCGTTAGTCTCATCATCTCTGCAAAAGGGGACCCTCGCTTCGTTCGGGAGCACGTACCTTCTTCCTCAACTTTCCACGAATGTGCGCCAAACGCCTCTCTCCGTCGAAGCACATGGCCTCCAAACGTCCGTTACCAAGCATCTTGGTGACCTGAGCGTATTCCTGTCCATCCTCCTTGAACACAAGCTCACGCTTCTCGTCCTCGTTCTCGTTCTTTCCTCTTCTCCTGTTCTTTCCTCCCTGTATTCGCCACAAGTCAGTACCGTGTCATAATGACTCGTTCGAAAGCCAGACGAGCAGTGGAGATGCTAAGGATGACTAGAACGAGAGGAGAGATGTACGAACCTTTCCCTTGTTCTTAGGCATGTTGGATGATGGTGGTTACGGTTGAACAATGTGACGCTCTAATGCATAAATTTCGATTGAACGCGCTGGGGTTACCCTGAGGACGCAAAGGAGCGCACGAGTCATTCCGCTGGAGGACATTGGAGGAGCGCGACGAATACGAACACCTGTTGAACAATTATTGAAAGACAAATAGAACTTGTTCAGAAGGCTTTGGCGACTGTGATCTTAGCTTTGTGCAACCTCGAAGGGCCGCAAACGCGTTCGTGGTGGGGGCCAACTACCGTACTGCCACGGAGCATTCTTTTCAACCCGGGCGTCTTCGGTTGCTAAAGATAACTGTGCAAAGAACTCCAGGACCTCCCTTGACGAACGTAGACCTTACATTTCTCTTGCTATCCTTCCACACGTGAAGCTGCAGCTGGGCGCTCGTAGGTTGCAGCTACGTAACTCGAAACGACCAAACATCACAAACGAGCACCCAGGACCAATTGGACTGTCAGGGAGTGAGCGAATAGGTGCGTTATGAATATAGTTGTTCAGAAAAAATGCTGACCATAACTGAGCAGGACATGTACACGAACCCACAGCATCGAGGAACCTTCCAACAACAGGCAACTTCACCCCCTCCACACCTCTACCACCCAACACCACAGCACCCAATCCCACCCATGCGTTCTCCACCACCAAATGTGATCTCGCCATATTCCGCCGCCGAGCAAAACGCGTACGCGCAAGTCCCTCCTCAGGGCTATGCTCCTCAACAACCAGGAGCACCTGGTCAACAGCCAGGATACGGGGGCTACAACGCCTTCCCCGCCGCCGGCCAATTCTTCGGCTTGAATGACGCTACGGCACAGATGGGTTTCCAGATGGGTCAGACGGCTATGGCGCAAGGACAGCAATACGTCGAGCAGAACCTGAATCGGTGGATCAACCTGGGAGCGATACGACACACTTTCCACGTCTCGAACTCGTATGTGATGAACAAGTTGTTGCTCGTTGTGTTCCCGTGGAGACATCATCCCTGGACGCGGTTGGTCAAGCGTGGAGAGCAGGGGAATGTGGAGGGGTATAAGGCGCCAAGAGACGATATCAATGCGCCGGATTTGTATATCCCTGTGATGGCGTTCGTGTCGTACATCATCCTTTCTGCGTTCCTCGCTGGACTCCAGGGACAGTTCCATCCCCAACTCCTCGCGTCGACGGCCTCTACCGCGTTCGCCGTCATCATCTTTGAATTCTGTGCGGTCAAGTTAGGGTGCTACCTTCTTGGTATCAGCTCGCAGTCCCAATTCCTCGATCTGATCGCGTACAGTGGGTACAAGTTCATCGGGTATGTTGTTGTCTTGCGGTTTGTTTTGCGACTTGCTAATGCGACAACATAGTATCATCGCTACCATGATCACCCGCGTCCTTGCCAGTGGTACCCTGACGCCAACCTACACCGTATTCTTCTACACTTTCTTCGCGAACGGATTCTTCTTGGTATGTAACGCGCACCGCGCACGGCCAATGCACGCTGCTAATATGATGTTTCGTGTAGCTCCGCTCGATGAAGTACGTTCTCTTACCAGACTCCGCTGGTGCAACGACGGCACAGACGGTCACACACGGACAGAGAAGCAGGAGGATTCAGTTCTTGTTCATGGTTGCTTTGAGTCAGGTTGTGTTTATGTGGTTGTTGATCTAAGGGCAGCGACTGTGACAGCTGTTGCCGCGAGCCTGTTTTCATCGGGGAATATGACAAAAGTTGTGAATGTGCGGGTACGGGGGATGATGAAGAGATATACAACAGTATACCATCATGCGGTTTGGCGAGCATCGTAGCATGCGTTACTTGCAATACATTGTTCTTAAACATCATCACTGCATCCACAACCCCTTCCTAACCCTAATCCCAACCCCCAACACCCCCGCAACCTTCTCCCCAATACTAACACCCTTTCGTTCTCCACCACTCTCACCCACCCCCACATGTCCCTCTCTCTGGGTTTTATGCTTCTTAAACGCCCGCGCCAGAACGTTGGGATGAGGACTCGGCGCGCGACCACGCCCGGTATGGAGATGGACGGAGTGGTGCGCGTCAAGGCCGGTCGGACGCGTGATGGTATCCGAGGCGAAAGAGATATGACGCACTGGTCCGGGGGGCGGGTGAGGTGTCCCGGCGGTCGCGGACTCGGTGGATGAGTTCGACTCGATCGAGGACGAAAAGGTCAGTTTCGGCAGCTGCTCCAGGGCTGGAGGTGGGTTTCGCCTCGAGGTGGACCTCAAAATTGGGGTTGAGGGTGGGATGTAGGACGGCGTGAGAGGTGGTGGCAGCTCCAAAGGTGAGATAGCCCCGACGGTGGCATCGACAGCGTCTGTGTACCCCGAATCCGTTGCAAAGCCCATCGGTGAGTTACCTCCGATGGGAGTATGGAAGTGTACAGGATGCTCCCACATCCCCAACACCATTTCTTCCCTCAACTCGACAGCTGCTGGACCCAGATCGAACGTCGGGACAGAGTCGGTTGATGTCCAGTGGTTTGAGATGGGCATGGTGGGGCCGGTGGGTCGCAAGGTGAAGGATAAGTTAGGGCTTGAGGTGTTGAAGTATGTTGTCGTGAAGACTGGGGTTGCTAGTCCGAGTTTCGAGGAAGCAGACATCGGTGCCGGTCGCGTTGTTCGATATGAACGTTGTGAAGTGTGAGGATTGCAAGTTCATTCAAGAGTTAGGCTGTGAGGTCATGATCGAGGAATCGATGCTCTTTCCATGAAGTCATATGACTCTTGGTGTAGCTCGTTAGCGTGGCAATAATAATGATGAAATGTTTGAGACTGTCGTCGGGGGGCGTAGGGGGGG